GCGAGCAGAGCGAAGGGAAAGGCTGCGGCTCCCAGCGCCTTGCGCACATCCGTCCTTAGCAGTCAGAGCTGCATGGGGTCCCCGGGGCGCTGAGCCTGCAAACGGCAGGGGGGGAACAAAGGGGGGGCGAAGGGGAGATGGCAGCAGGACGAGGGGAAACGGCTGGGAGCTGAGGGAGGGCAGCTGGAGGTTGGATGTGAGGGGAAGTTCTTTGCTATGGCAGTGGTGAGGAGCTGGAACGGCTGCCCAGAGAGGCTGTGATGCCCCGTCCATCCCTGGAGGTGTTGGAGGCCAGCTTGGATGGGGCCCTGGGCAGCCGTGCAATGGGGAGGTTGGTGGCCCTGCATGCAGCAGGAGGGTTGGAGCTTCGTGATCTTTGAGGTCCCTTCAGCCCAAACCATTCTGTGGTTCTGTGCTCAGGTCCATAGCAGGCACAGGCCCATGCGGGTACCTGAGCAGCACGGGGTTCAGCTCAACGTTCTGCCACGATGTGAAGTTGTTCGTGTGCATCAGAGCCGACAGCTTCGTGCTATGGAGGAATGGGATGCAGCCACGCTGATGGATCCCATCAACATGACTGTGCTGCTGGGTGCCTCTGAGCCGTCACTGCTACCTCCAGCAGCCTCTGCTGCGCTTCATCCTGCACAGCAGCACCCAGCCGTGTCAGGAAGCGTGTGGAACTGCTGTGCCTGAGGAGATGTGGGTCACTGCTGTGCCTGAGGAGATGCACAACTCTGCCGTGCCTTAAAGGGAGGGAACCATTGGGGTCCTTCCATCTCAGAGCTCACAGAAGGAGCCCCTGGTGCTGCCCCCCCCCCCCCAGTCAGGACATTTCTGCTCTCCTTTCAGGCCCTGCAGCACAACGGTTCCATCGCTCCCTGCTTTCAGGGCCCGCTCTGTCAGCTGCTGTAAGCTGCAGCCCTGTGTAACCAGCATTAACTGCATTCCAGTAAACCCGACCCGTTTGCCGGATCCCCTGCAGTCGCTGCTGTCCTGTCCCTACGATGGTGGCGCTGCCTCCTCCCATCGCGTCCCTGTGGGGCGGCTGCCGTGGTTTTGTCCCTGCTGCTATCAGCCTTTCTCCGCCTCGTGCCGTCGTGCAAAGCGCGAGCGGTTAAAGCTTCCTTCTGCACCCAGCGAGGGGATGCAGCCCGGCCTTCTGCTCACACGCAGCTGGAGAAGGGAGGCTGCTTCCCAGCTGCTCCTTCCAACTCTGCTCTGTTCTCAGAAACTTCTCTCCCTCTCTCTCTCTCTCTCTTGGATTTGATCTCGGTTTCGGTTGGATCGCGTTAAATGCTGTTATCCTGCATTCCAATATCACGGATCACTGAAATAACTTTTCCTCGTTCAATCGATCCTGCCCTTCTGTTTTCTCTTCCTCGAGCCCAGCTCCCCTCTCTTGCCCCCCCTTTTTCCCTTTCCTTCCCACTTTTGGAGGCCAGCTGCCTCCGTCACGGCCATAGATTGAGCTCCTTCACCCTGTGCCAGCAGGAGAGCAGCTCTGCCAGGAGGAACCACAGAATCACCGAGCTTGGAAAAGCCCTCCGAGGTCCCCCAGCCCGGCCTGAACCTCGCTGGGCGACTCGGGGCCGTTCCCCCCCCCTCCTATGGCTGTTCCACGAGAGCAGAGGCCGATGCTGAGCTCGGCACAGCCTCCCTTCAGGGCTCCCAGAGCCGCGAGGGCCGCTCTGCCCACGAGGTTCTGCGGAGCCGCGCGGCTCAACCCCATCTCTGCCCGCGCTGCAGCACCTCCACGTGCTGCAGGAAAAAAAGGGCTTCCAACGCTTTCAATTCACTGAACTGAGGAACTCATCTATGGAATACCTCTGTCGTTCGTACAGCCAGCGAGGAGACGGGGAGATGCAACTGCAGGCCCAGCCTCACACAGCAACGAGGCTACAGGTGTTAAAATGCAAGCGCTTGTGGGTGGAAAGGAGGGCGACAGAGCGGTGAGGGTGTGGAGCACAAGGGGGGCTTATGAGGAGCGGCCGAGGGAGCGGGGATGGGTCAGCGGGGAGAAGAGGAGGTCAGGGGAGACCTCACTGCTCTCTGTGCTCACTGCCTGAAGGGAGGGGGACACCATGGGGACACCATGGGACGTGGAGAACGACAGTGGGACCCCAATGGGACTCAGGGACATCAGTGGGGCATGGAGACCCCGATGGGCCATGGAGGACCTTGAGCGTGCAGAAGAGGAGGCTCAGGCCGAGCTCACTGCTCCCTGCAACTTCCTGAACGGAGCTGCGGTGAGGAGGGGTTTGGCTTCTTCTCCCAGGCAGCAACCGGGAGCCGAGGAGCTTTGGGTCGGACGTCAGGAAGAACTTCTTCTCTCCGAGGTCAGCGCTGCAAAGGCTGCACAGGAGCTGGTGCAGCCACCGAGCCTGGAGGCGACCGGGAGGCGCCTGGGTGCGGAGCTGCGAGATCACAGCAGGGCAGAACGGTTCGGGCTGGAAGGGACCTTTTTGTAGCGGCACGCGTCCTTGTGCGGGAACGGAGAGCGCGGTGCTGCAGAGCGCCTCGGGAGGAGTCTGCGAGCGCCTCAGCGACAGCTCCGCACCGCGCTGCGTGTGAACGCGGCCCGGCCTGCAGCGCGGGGCTCCCGGCGGCCGCGGGGTGAGCGCTGGGGCCGGGAAGCGGGCGGGAAAACGGCGGGTCCAGGAACGCACGTGGCGAGCCAAGATGATGTGGGGCCGCCATCTTGGAAATGGCGCACTGCGCCAGGGGAACGCGGTGGGGATCACGTGATCGCAGCCATTTCCCGTTACGAAAGGAAGAGCTACCACGTGACATTAGCGCGCTGTTCGGCGCCCTCTCGTGGCGGCGCTCGGCGTTGCGGCGCTGCCCGCCTCCCTCTCTGCTGTTCGCCCTGCCCCAACCGACCCACCGCGCGCTGCCGCCCCGCGTTCGTTCCGTCCAACCGCCCCGCCATGGGCCCGAGCGGCACCGACCGACCGACCGCAACGCCGACCCCAAAAAAGCACCGAAACGACCGCAAATAACCGCAAACGGCGCCGAACCGGGCGCAGCTCAGCCCCCAAAGGCTCCCAAAGCGCCCTGCGCTCAGCAGATCCCAAAGCCCAGGAGCGGCCCGAACGGCCCCACAGCTGCCCGAGGTGGACGCGCCCGGTCCCAAAGCAGCCCCAAATGAGCTGAGGCGGCCCCACTTGGCCGAAGAGCCCCAAGGGAGGCCGAGGTGACCGCGAGCGGCCCCAGCACGGCCCTCAGACGGCACAAAACGGCCCCGAATGACCCCTAGCGGCCCCCGGTCCCCCCGAAGCGGCCCCAGCCCAAAGAAGCCCAACACGGTGCCGCGATGTGTCGGCCATGTTAGGAATGCGCGCGGCAATTCTGTTGTGCACCCGTTGTGATAAGGAAACCGAAAGCGCTTTGGCGGCCGGAATCACCGGAACGACCGCAAATAACCGCAAACGGAACCGAACCGGGCGCA